CTCTCAGCCTTTTCTCCTCTTGGAGCTGGTCTTCGTCTATTTCAGGAGGTGTACGTCTCCGCGAGGCTTGGCTCCGGCGTGGTAATGGAGCCAGTTCTGCGCTCGGTGAAGACACAGCTTCACCTGCGCCGAGCGCGGCGCCGGGCGCCGGTATACTGCCTATTCGCCTCGGGAGTTGGCTATACGGTGGGAGCACTCTCGATCTCTCAGGAGCGAAGAGGTCTCGCTCCATGAGGGGCCTGTCGAGTACTCCCGGACGCCTATCTGGTGGTTTACGGCGTGTTGGGGGAGGTTCCCCCTTGTCCGACATCACTAATTACTTGTTACTTGTGCTCAGCCCTTAGCTATCACACACCTTACTCCCCTCAGCGCGTGCAACCACACCGGGTGAGACCCGTGAGGGAGGCCCAGCGAGGCGCCCGCGAGCAGGGAGGGGTGTGTGAGGCGCAGATGGGATGGGCGTTATCTCACAAAATGCGGAACACTTGCAAACACTTTTTATAATAAAAAGAGGGTACAGTGTACAGACAAGATAAAAACGCAAAGTAGGGCACAGCGTAGGTTGTGACCTTTGCGCTTACCTTGATAACAGCTCGACGCAGGAGATGCGCCAGCGACGCCTCGACGCCAAACGGAGCGAACTCGACGTCGGCGGAGTCAATCACTAGCACAACACGTACACAACACAGGAGCGCACTAGACACGTCCGCACTGTAGCACGGCCCGCGACGAATTGGTGGCGACAGTGGTGGTTCATCTCCTTGTGGAGGTTTTCATGTGTCGAGGAGACCCTCTTTACATGGGCGGCATCTCAGGAGGACACGACCCCCCGGTCCTGGGTGCTGCGTTGGCAGCTTATATGTAGGTGTATTGCGCACCTCGCGCCATCACGTCGAGTGTCGGGACGCTCACTCACCCCCGGCGTCCCCTGTGCCGGGCAGTGAGCGTAGAAGTTCACGTGGGAGTGGTCGCCCGTCAGGTGGGCGGGCGTGGAGGGGAGCAAGATTTTGAAGGTGTAGGTGTGGCCCGTTGTCTGCGCGGTCGAACAACCGTCTCGCAGAACGGACCACAAAATCTTGGATGGTTTCGACCTTGAGGTCGCGAGAAATGATGTCATTCCTGACGTAGCGACCGGCTCCCACGATCACCCGGAGCGCAAGATTTTGCTGGGCCTGCAACCTCTTGCGCTGAGTGGCCGAGGTCAACGCGTACCAGGCTGGTGCTGCGTAGGTCAGCCGCGAGCGGATGTAGGTTTTGTAGATACCTATTTTCGTTCTTGTTGGGAGTTTGGATGCCAGTATAGGGTATAGTTTCGCTCGCGCAGCTCTGGCCTGTCTCACAACGTGATTGACCATCGGGGTCATGCGCAGCGAGCGATCTATCTGGCATCCTAGGTACGTAATGGTACTACTCCAACCCACATCCTGCCCGCGGAGTTGCAGGGTTGGTGGTGTTCTGGCCAGCCTGGTCATGAAGGCGACGGTCTTCCCGACGTTGACCGCCAGCCTCCATTTGTCCAGCCACTCAGGCAAGAGGTCGAGTACCCGCTGCAATTTCTTAGCAGCTATGTCCACCCGACGTGATGACGCGAAGTACGCACTGTCGTCGGCGTACAAGGCTAGGACAACGTCATCCTCCCATTCCTCCAGATGGCCTTGGAGGGTGGGGATGTCGTTGGTGTAGACCGCGTACAGGTGCGGTGATAGGCAGCTGCCCTGTGGCACTCCCGCAGAAATCGGTCGTGCCGCCGAAACAGCCCCTTCCAAGGAGACATGGAAGCTCCGCCCCTCCAGGAATGACGCTATTAACCGCACAAGCATGGGCGGTAAAGTGGTGTGCTGAATGAGTTTATAAACTAGCCCTGCGTGCCACACCCTGTCGAAGGCCTTCTCCATGTCGAGAAGGACCCCCACACAGATGCGGCCGAAGTAATATTCGGCCGCAAGATAGTGCAGCACGCGGGCCAGCTGAGACGTGGTTGAATGTCCCCTGCGGAAGCCAAATTGCTCCTCCCGCAGGGTAACATGTGGGAGTACCCTATTCAGGGTGATTTTCTCGAAGAGTTTTGCTATGTGCGGCAATAGCGTTATGGGGCGGTAGCTGGCCGGGAACCTCCTGTCTTTTCCCGGCTTCGGCAGCACGATGATTCTGCCCTGCTTCCAGATGGTCGGGAAGTGGCCAGTCCGTAAGATGCCATTGTACAGACTGGTGAGTGCCACTATTACCCTTCTGGGCAGCTGCTTTATGGCTATGGTGGTGATGCCGTCGTAACCCGGCGCTTTACGGCTAGGTAGGCGCATAATAGTGCGCCTTACCTCTGCTGGAGATATGAAATCGTCGCCTCGCAATGGCGGCGCCGGGTTAGAGAGGTATTCCCGTACGCGGTCCTCTATGCCTTGTACGTGGTCTGCGTACCCCTCTGCTATGCTGTTGGGTATGAACTGTTGTTCTAGGTGCTGTGCCATCAAGTCCGCTCTAGGTTGGGCGTCGTAAATCCTACTCCCCGTGCTGTCCACCAGTGGGCAGACAGGTGGTGGTGTCTTGGAGAGCTGCCGGTTGAGGAGATGCAGGGAGGCGGGTGTCTCCGAGGCTTCGTCGACTCGCCTCTCCCATGCTTCTCCCCTGTAAGCTCTCATTGCTTCCGACAGCTCTTCCGTCATAGCGTTTAGTTTGGTTTTGATCCGTGGGCATCGTGTCCGTGCCCAGAGCCTCCTCATCTTCCGCTTCTCGGATAGAAGCGTTTGCAGATTACGTGGGAGTCCCTCCTTCCCGCGCCCCGTGGCGACAGGGTGAGAGTGTAGTTGGAGTTGCTCTTTTATAGTGTTGTGAAGATGTAGGGCCGCAGTCTCTACATCTTCACTGGTGGTAATTGGGGCGCAAGGTTGGAAGTCCTCCAGCGCACTACAAAAGCGGGTCCAATTTGTCTTCATTCGGAGACTTCTGGGCACCATGGCATCCACACTGATGTCGATAGTAATCAGCACGGGGAGGTGTTGTGTATCTATGTCATACAACACTTCTAACCGTGTTGTATACGGCACTAGATGACACAGCACAATGTCAAGAACATCGGGCTTATGTTCTGGCTTTGTCAGGATATGGGTGGGCTCATCAGGGCCCAGCACCTCGTACCCCCACTCCTCGGCGTCGTCGAACAGTTTCCTGCCGGGTGGTGTGATCAGCGCGGAGCCCCAAGCGGGATGTTTCGCGTTGAGGTCTCCGGCGATTATTGCGGGTGTCGTGGAGTCAAATATGTTACGTATGTCTTGGGGGGCAAATGAGGTGCCGGGAGGTCTGTAGGCAGCAAAGATTCTAATTTCTCTGGTGCCTACCTTCAACCTTATACCCTTGGTTCTGGTGGATATAAATTGTGTATTGGTGCCAACTTCTTCATGCATGACGTCCCTCCTCACAAGGACCGCAGTACCTCTGTACGCGATACCTTCTGAGGAGATCTCGTCATGTCGGTACACGAAGAAGTTGGGGAGTTTTAATTGAGCAGAGGGGCGCAGTTTGGTCTCCCCCAGCAGCACAATTTGGATATTGTGCTGCTGGACCAGGAATCTCAGGTCGGCGACCTTCCCTAAGATGCCGCCGGGGTTCCAGTAGACCATCCTAAGTTGATGGCCTGCTGACAGATGTTAGTTGGGCTAAGGCCGTTAAGATGGCCGAAAGGGGGTTGGTGCCGGTGGTCATGGCAGTCAGGACCTCTCCTAAGATCCTGATTACCACGCCCACCAGTTGAGCGAGGGCCTCCTCGATGGTGGTTGGTGCCTGGGGCTGTGATAGGGGTGTGACAGTTATTGTCCTTTTGGGTGGGCGTTGATCTCGGGGTTGGGGTGCAGATTGCTCGTTCTGATTTGATGGAGGGAAGGTATATCGCAGTTGTGGCAGTGGTAGTCGCTGTTCATTGGTGGTGTTGGGTAGAGGAAGAGGAGTTGAAGTACCACCCACTTGAGCTGTTTGGGTGGTTGCCTTCTTCTTCTTCTTCTTCTTGCCTCTTTTCCTCTTTGGGCGCTCTATGCGCTCCGTGGGATCATTCGCCGGTGGAGCTAATGTCGCCCCAGTCGTCGCGAATGTAGTAGGCGCTGGTGCTAATGTCACCTGCCGCTGCTGCGGTTGAGGCGCCTGGTGTTGTGGTTGCTGCTGTTTTTGCAGCTGTTGGGGTTGGAATTGTGTTTGTCTTTGGGGCAGTGGTGGTTGCCACTGTTGTGGAGGTGGTTGTTGCGGTGCTCGTGCTGGTTCGCGCTGCGGGGGCATGGGAGGCTGTATGTTGATGCCTCTTTTCCTCGCAATTCGCTGCAGCACTGGGCATCGCCTGTCGTTTGCGGCGTGATCCCTGCCGCAGTTGGCGCATTTGGGCTGTGTATCTCTCGGTTGTGGGCAAGCAGAGGCAAGATGGTCACCCGCACAGCGTACACATTTGAAGGGCCGGTAGCAGTTGTAAGATGCGTGTCCGAACCCTTGACACCTGTGACACTGCGCAGGGCCAATTCTGCCTGTCCAGCCTTCAATTGTAACTCCCGGCATGTAAAGGAGCTCATCAATTTTGTACAATCTGTTGAGCTCTTCAGGACTTAGGTGGTTCATCTTTACATGAAAGAGGCAGCCAGGCCTGCCTCTTTTTGGTGGTATTGCTCGGACAAAAGTAACAGGGAAGCCCTTCTCTATGAGGGCCTCCTGTATGTCCTTAGGGTCTGTATCTGCAGGGAGCCCTCTTAACCCCACCTTCGTGGGTTGCTCCTCCTGTGGGGCGTAGCAATACCACACGAAGGTGGCATCCTCCTTGCTTTTATCGATGAGGTAGCGCTGGACCTTCCTATATTCGTTATCGGACTGGGGCCGAAAACGGACTCCCTTTCCAAATGGACGAGCATTAGGGGCGTGGCCCAGAAGTTGGTGTAAAATTTTGAAGTGCTTCGCCCAATCGGGGAAGCACTCCACTATAATAGGAGGGTATTTGGCCTGGTTATTTACTGGCTGTTGTTCTTTCTGTGCAGGTGGTGGTGGAGGTGATGGTGGCGCTGACCTTGGCGCTGCTGCAATTTGCGCATAAGAGTCCGGCGCTGAAGATGGACCAGGTATGGGCTCCTGGTTTGCAGGTTGGGGCTAGAGTGGCGTAGGACGTATTGTCCCACTCTCTCTCCCCTTCCGGGTCTTCCTCACCGAAATCCTGCATGTCAGCGGTGCAGGCCGGAGAAGTGGTTGGAGACGGTGAGTTTGGCGGAATGTTATGCCTTACCACAGATTGTGGGGCTTGTCTCTCGGGTGGGGTTACCGAGGAAGGAGGCGATGCCGAATCAGATAATGAGTCTGATCCGGCTCTCAGCCTTTTCTCCTCTTGGAGCTGGTCTTCGTCTATTTCCGGAGGTGTACGTCTCCGCGAGGCTTGGCTCCGGCGTGGTAGTGGCGCCGGTTCGACGCTAGGTGGAGGCACAGCTTCACCAGCGCCGAGCGCGGCGCCAGTGGCCGATGAACTACCTATCCGCCTCGGGAGTTGGCTATATGGTGGGAGCACTCTGGATCTCTCAGGAGCGAAGAGGTCTCGCTCCATGAGGGGCCTGTCGAGTACTCCCGGACGCCTATCTGGTGGTTTACGGCGTGTTGGGGGAGGTTCCCCCTTGTCCGACATCACTAATTACTTGTGCTCAGCCCTTAGCTATCACACACCTTACTCCCCTCAGCGCGTGCAACCACACCGGGTGAGACCCGTGAGGGAGGCCCAGCGAGGCGCCCGCGAGCAGGGAGGGGTGTGTGAGGCGCAGATGGGATGGGCGTTAACTCACAAAATGCGGAACACTTGCAAACACTTTTTATAATATAAAGAGGGTACAGTGTACAGACAAGATAAAAACGCAAAGTAGGGCACAGCGTAGGTTGTGACCTTTGCGCTTACCTTGATAACAGCTCGACGCAGGAGATGCGCCAGCGACGCCTCGACGCCAAACGGAGCGAACTCGACGTCGGCGGAGTCAATCACTAGCACAACACGTACACAACACAGGAGCGCACTAGACACGTCCGCACTGTAGCACGGCCCGCGACGAACTGGTGGCGACAGTGGTGGTTCATCTCCTTGTGGAGGTTTTCATGTGTCGAGGAGACCCTCTTTACATGGGCGGCATCTCAGGAGGACACGACCCCCCGGTCCTGGGTGCTGCGTTGGCAGCTTATATGTAGGTGTATTGCGCACCTCGCGCCATCACGTCGAGTGTCGGGACGCTCACTCACCCCCGGCGTCCCCTGTGCCGGGCAGTGAGCGTAGAAGTTCACGTGGGAGTGGTCGCCCGTCAGGTGGGCGGGCGTGGAGGGGAGCAAGATTTTGAAGGTGTAGGTGTGGCCCGTTGTCTGCGCGGTCGAACAACCGTCTCGCAGAACGGACCACAAAATCATGAATGGTTTCGACCTTGAGGTCGCGAGAAATGATGTCATTCCTGACGTAGCGACCGGCTCCCACGATCACCCGGAGCGCAAGATTTTGCTGGGCCTGCAACCTCTTGCGCTGAGTGGCCGAGGTCAACGCGTACCAGGCTGGTGCTGCGTAGGTCAGCCGCGAGCGGATGTAGGTTTTGTAGATACCTATTTTCGTTCTTGTTGGGAGTTTGGATGCCAGTATAGGGTATAGTTTCGCTCGCGCAGCTCTGGCCTGTCTCACAACGTGATTGACCATCGGGGTCATGCGCAGCGAGCGATCTATCTGGCATCCTAGGTACGTAATGGTACTACTCCAACCCACATCCTGCCCGCGGAGTTGCAGGGTTGGTGGTGTTCTGGCCAGCCTGGTCATGAAGGCGACGGTCTTCCCGACGTTGACCGCCAGCCTCCATTTGTCCAGCCACTCAGGCAAGAGGTCGAGTACCCGCTGCAATTTCTTAGCAGCTATGTCCACCCGACGTGATGACGCGAAGTACGCACTGTCGTCGGCGTACAAGGCTAGGACAACGTCATCCTCCCATTCCTCCAGATGGCCTTGGAGGGTGGGGATGTCGTTGGTGTAGACCGCGTACAGGTGCGGTGATAGGCAGCTGCCCTGTGGCACTCCCGCAGAAATCGGTCGTGCCGCCGAAACAGCCCCTTCCAAGGAGACATGGAAGCTCCGCCCCTCCAGGAATGACGCTATTAACCGCACAAGCATGGGCGGTAAAGTGGTGTGCTGAATGAGTTTATAAACTAGCCCTGCGTGCCACACCCTGTCGAAGGCCTTCTCCATGTCGAGAAGGACCCCCACACAGATGCGGCCGAAGTTATATTCGGCCGCAAGATAGTGCAGCACGCGGGCCAGCTGAGAGGTTGTGGAATGTCCCCTGCGGAAGCCAAATTGCTCCTCACGCAGGGTAACATGTGGGAGAACCCTGTTCAGGGTGATTTTTTCAAAAAGTTTTGCTATGTGCGGCAATAGCGTTATGGGGCGGTAGCTGGCCGGGAACCTCCTATCTTTTCCCGGCTTCGGCAGCACGATGATTCTGCCCTGCTTCCATATGGACGGGAAGTGGCCAGTCCGCAGGATGCCATTATACAGACTGGTGAGTGCCACTATTACCCTTCTGGGCAGCTGCTTTATGGCAATGGTGGTAATGCCGTCGTAACCCGGCGCTTTACGGCTAGGTAGGCGCATAATAGTGCGCCTTACCTCTGCTGGAGATATGAAATCGCCGCCTCGCAATGGCGGCGCCGGGTTAGAGAGGTATTCCCGTACGCGGTCCTCTATGCCTTGTACGTGGTCTGCGTACCCCTCTGCTATGCTGTTGGGTATGAACTGTTGTTCTAGGTGCTGTGCCATCAAGTCCGCTCTAGGTTGGGCGTCGTAAATCCTACTCCCCGTGCTGTCCACCAGTGGGCAGACAGGTGGTGGTGTCTTGGTGAGCTGCCGGTTGAGGAGATGCAGGGAGGCGGGTGTCTCCGAGGCTTCGTCGACTCGCCTCTCCCATGCTTCTCCCCTGTAAGCTCTCATTGCTTCCGACAGCTCTTCCGTCATAGCGTTTAGTTTAGTTTTTATCCGTGGGCATCGTGTCCGTGCCCAGAGTCTCCTCATCTTCCGCTTCTCGGACAGGAGCGTTTGGAGATTGCGTGGGAGTCCCTCCTTCCCGCGCCCCGTGGAGACAGGGTGAGAGTGGAGTTGGAGTTTATCTTTTATAGTGTTGTGAAGATGTAGGGCCGCAGTCTCCACATCTTCACTGGTGGTAATTGGGGCGCAAGGTTGGAAGTCCTCCAGCGCACTACGAAAGCGGGTCCAATTTGTCTTCATTCGGAGACTTCTGGGCACCATGGCATCCGCACTGGTGTCGATAGTAATCAGCACGGGGAGGTGTTGTGTATCTATGTCATACAACACTTCTAACCGTGTTGTATACGGCACTAGATGACACAGCACAATGTCAAGAACATCGGGCTTATGTTCTGGCTTTGTCGGGATATGGGTAGGCTCATCAGGGCCCAGCACCTCGTACCCCCACTCCTCGGCGTCGTCGAACAGTTTCCTGCCGGGTGGTGTGATCAGCGCGGAGCCCCAAGCGGGATGTTTCGCGTTGAGGTCTCCGGCGATAATTGCAGGTGTCGTGGAGTCAAATATGGTACGTATGTCTTGGGGGGCAAGTGAGGTGCCGGGAGGTCTGTAGGCAGCAAAGATTCTAATTTCTCTGGTGCCTACCCTCAGCCTTACACCCTTGGTTCTGGTGGATATAAACTGTGTATTGGTGCCAACTTCTTCTTGCATGACGTCCCTCCTCACAAGGACCGCAGTACCTCTGTACGCGATACCTTCTGAGGAGATCTCGTCATGTCGGTACACAAAGAAGTTGGGGAGTTTTAATTGAGCAGAGGGGCGCAGTTTGGTCTCCCCCAGCAGCACAATTTGGATATTGTGCTGCTGGACCAGGGTTCTCAGGTCGGCGACCTTCCCTAAGATGCCGCCGGGGTTCCAATAACACATCCTAAGTGGATGGCCTGCTGACGGAGGTTAACTGGGCTAAGGCCGTTAGGATGGCCGAAAGGGGGTTGGTGCCGGTGGTCATGGCAGTCAGGACCTCTCCTAAGATCCTGATTACCACGCCCACCAGTTGAGCGAGGGCCTCCTCGATGGTGGTTGGTGCCTGGGGCTGTAATGGGGGAGCGACAGTTATTGTCTTTTTGGGTGGGCGTTGATCTCGGGGTTGGAGTGCAGAATGCTCGTTCTGATTGGATGGAGGGAATGTATACCGCGGTTGTGGCAGTGATTGCTGTTGTTGTGTGGTAGTGACGAGTGGAGGAAGAGGAGTCGAAGTACCACCCACTTGAGCTGGTTGGGTGGTTGCCTTCTTCTTCTTCTTCTTCTTTCCTCTCTTTTTCTTTGGGCGCTCTGTGCGCTCCGTGGCGTTATTCGCCGGTGGTGCTAAAGTCGCCCCGGTCGTAACAAATGTGGTTGGTGCAGGTGTGATTGTTACCTGCCGCTGTTGCGGTTGCGGTTCCTGCCTTTGCAGGTGTTGCTGCTGTGAATATTGCTGCTGTTGGGGTGGGTAGTACTGAGGTTTTTGAGGTGGTGGAGGTTGCCAATGCGGTGCAGGTGGTTGGCTTTGTAGTGGGGGTGGTTGACGTTGCGGTGCTCGTGTTGTTTGCGCGGGGATAGGGGGTTGCATATTAATCCCCCTCTTCCTTGCAATTCGCTGCAACACTGGGCACCGCCTGTCATTCGCCGAGTGATCTTTCCCGCAGTTTGCGCATTTAGGTTGCGCATCCCGCGGTTGTGGGCATGCTGAGGCCAGGTGGTCACCTGCACAGCGTACACATTTGAAGGGTCGGTAGCAGTTGTAGGATGCGTGTCCGAACCCTTGACACCTGTGACACTGCGCAGGGCCAATTCTGCCTGTCCAGCCTTCGATTGTTACTCCCGGCATGTAAAGGAGCTCATCAATTTGGTATAATCTGTTGAGCTCTTCGGGGCTTAGGTGACTCATTTTCACGTGAAACAGGCAGCCAGGCCTGCCTCTTTTTGGTGGAATTGACCGTACAAATGTAACTGGAAAGCCCTTCTCTATGAGGGCCTCCTGTATGTCTTTAGGGTCTGTATCGGCAGGGAGCCCTCTTAACCCCACCTTCGTGGGTTGCTCCTCCTGTGGGGCGTAGCAATACCACACGAAGGTGGCATCCT